CCTTCATCCATGCCCACACCATGGCCATCTTCATATTCCAGAATGGTTTTATTTCCAAGTTTCTATTTTCTCCCCATGTCCCTGATACTGCTTACTACTTGAGTGTCTGTCTCCTACCTTTAGGATGTTCACAACAAACAAGGGAAGCCATCTTCTCCTGAGGAAATGATGGGATGCTTGTGAACTGAGCAGCTCTTTTTGCACAGACTGTGAAAAGTTGAGAGAATAATGAGAAAATGGAGTCTGTCTGCTTGGAGCCCATCTTACTCACGAGATTATTCTCACTTTCCCTTAATGAAATCTATGGTTTCTCTAGTTTATGTAAAAAATGAATAAAGCCATGGGTAACAATGAGAGGAGTCTAGGTTAGATAACATAGTTATGTCCCACTGGGCCATGGTTTTATGAGGTAGCCAGACTGTTATGAACTGTGAACTTGTGTCTGAACTTGAGCTGTTCTTCTAATCTGCCTCACACAATCACCATGGATAGACTTGACTGCATTGGCATGGCATCAATTTGCTCTCAAACCTACCTACCTACCTACCTACCTACCTACCTACCTACCTACTTGTCTGTCTGTCTGTCTGTCTGTCTGTCTATCTATCTATAGACAGGGTCTCATGTGTCTCTGTCTGTCCTGGAGTTCACCATGTAGACCACGCTAGATTTGAACTCACAGAGATCCCCCTGTCTCTGTCTTCTGAGTGCTGGGATTAAAGGCGGGCATCACCATGCCCAGCTCTAAGACTTCTTTACTCTGTCTCCTGTATTAGAGAGGTGGGTGGTAGGGTCTCTAGAGCATTCCCCCATGGATACTGAGGGATGACTGTACTGTGTCAAGTGACCTATAGAGTGTGCTGCCTGTGTCCCTCCCCATTCTAATCAAGAGAGTGCCATATGAACAGATGTGGGGTGTGATAAAAGTGTGTGCAGGTGGTGGGACCTTTTGATAATGTGTATACATACTCCTACCTCACAGTAGAATGCCATGCACACTATTAGATTTTCGGATTAGCAAGTTTGGAAACATCTAGTCTGTACTAGGCAGCAGACACTGCCCACATGTAGGCTCTTTTTCCCCATTAGACTGAGTGTCAGGACATGCCTCACAAAATGGCCACAGTTCTTTGCCAAAGAGGACGCGAGATGGCTCCCGAGCCATAGGAATAGCAGGCATGTTTCTTGTGAGGGCTCCATGCAACATCTTGACTAAGTGTAGTAATTTTGAGTCCTGAGTTATTGGAGTTATGTAAAAAGAGGCTTTTTCCTTGCTAGCCGCTTTGGTTTATCACCCACCAGTCGCCTGGGATCTGCCGCGTTATAGTCCCCAAATAACACACAAGATGCTGTATTAATTATGAAGCTGTTGGCCTTGCTTGTTTCTTACTGGATAGCTCTGACTTAAGTAGTTATCCCATAATTGTTAATCTAAGTATTTCTCTTACCAGAGAATAGTTCCGGGCTTCCTACCCCATGGCGTTATATCTCGACTCTCCTGTGTTTCTCCTTCCCAGAGTTCTCCTGGACTCCTAGTCCCACCTATCTAGATTCCTATTGTCTCAACAGTGCTTTATTGACATAAGACTTCCCCAACATCGTTAAGTGTCAAGGCTGTTGTACTCAAGTGTGGATAAGGCAGAGAGACTTATCTTTGTCAAAACTCCACTCAACAATTGTCAGACCTGCCTGGAAATAGTTCCTTCTGTCTCACCTGATGATCTGGATTTGATTACTGGGACCTATACACTCCTAAGATCCTAACATTAATCCATAGTATAAGTCCATCAGTGTTCACTGGCTAATCAATGAGACTGGGTGAGGGCTACTATTGGTGGTGGGGATGGCTGGAAACTACAGCACCACAGAGTCTACACCTAGCATGAGTGAAATGCCCTGCAGCCTCATAGGTGGGGGATCTTCTACTGGTCTTCTTCTGCCTGTATACTGTAGCTACTTCCCAGACCCCAGAGAACATGAAATTAGGGCCTATTTGCAGACAAATATTTGGGGAAAGTGGCCAGATACTCATGTGAAGGTCCAAAGACGACCCTGCTCCAGCTAGATGATGTCAGCAGTCCACAAACCTCACCATGCTGGACACTATTGAGTAGGCACAGCCGATCTTATGAAAATGGCCTAAATCTGGCTTGGAGGATATCCTCTTGTGCCAGAATATCAAGAATACCATTTTCCAATTATTTTTCAGACTATATTCTAACAAACCTCAGGGTTCTGAGCCTTCAGGAAACATAATCAATACTAGCAGTTTTCTGTATCTTCATAGAGGTTATTTATCTTTTTATCTTAGATATATGCTTTTGTCTTACCATGTGTTATGTACCTGATAATTTATGCTCTCTGCTTTTTTTCTCACAACACCATGGTGTTCTTGTAGATGGCAAGACCATCACATTCTTATGGCCTGTATGGCTCCAAATGAGAAATGTAATATTCTGCACAGGTATAACACTGAAGGCTTGCTGTGTACTTTTTGTTTAGTGTTATAATGGGGGAATGAAAAGTACTGACAGATCAATAGCCTTGGCCCAGTTGCTGGGGTCTGTATTGATTTGATCTAATCAAGAGACCATGTCAGGAGCAGAACATACAACAGCAGTCACTACTTGGGTAAGTTTATGACCATCTACTGTGGTCTCTATGAATTATTATCTTGTACATCTGCCAACCTAGAAATTACACAAGGCTGTGACTATGGGTATCTGCTTTTCACCAAATATTTAACGACAGAGTTGTTTTCTCAGATTCCCCAAGGGACAGGGCAGTGCTTTGTCGTGTTATTTTTGTAGGAAGAGAGAAGTGTTTTCTGTTTGCCCTTTGTACTTTCTTGGCTCTTATTAGAGAGTCACTTGGGAAGCTCACATTACTGCAGAAGATACTCATTCCAACATACACCCAGGAAATAGGACTAACCACTGAGGAGGTGTGAGGACCCACTGTACTTATTAGGCTGCTGGCAAAGGTCAAAACTGTTTTACTTGACCTTGGTGGTGTGTTAAATGAGAAATGTCTCCCACAGGCTCGGGTATTTGAGTATTTGGTTCCTAGCTGACGATGCTGTGTGGGAAGGTTTAGGTGGTGAGTCCTTGCTGGAGGAAGTGTGTCACTGGAGATGTGCTTTGAGAGGTTAAAGCTGCATAAATAGTTCTTCTAATTTACTCTTCTTGCTTTGGGTTTGCTTTGAAGGTGTGAGGTCTTAGCTTCCCATTCCTGCCACCATGCCTACGTCTTGAGCTAAGCCTCCCTGATCCAATGGATTCATTCTTCTGGGACCATAAGCCAAAATAAACTTCTTTTTGTGTAAGTGGCTTTGGTCATGGTATATAGTCACAGCAACAGAAAAGTTACTGATACAACAACCTCCATTCATCTCTACCTGGCCTTGGGCAGAGCTTAGACTTTATTAATTAGCTAAAATCCATTATTTAATGTGACACCCCCAAATCATGTGTTTCCTTTTCTCCAATACAAAGTTACCCTCTTAAGTGTCTTAGACCATTTGCACTTCTGTAACATTAATACCACACTCTGCATAGTTTACAAATGGAATGTTCACCTAGTTCTGGAGGTTGAATCCCTTGGATCACTAGAACATCAAACTTGAGGCCTGGTGAAAGCATACTTCCTGGTTAGTGAAAGACATTTTTCTTCCTGAATGTTCTCGTTGTGGAAGTAGCAAAGAAACCCTCTCAGTCTCAGCCTTCTCTTATAAAAGTGCTGGTCCTATTTACAAAGGCTCCGGCCTCACATGTAGTTGACTTCCAGAGTTCCTGTGCTAGACACTATAGAATATCTGAGATAGATTGCAGCGCTGTAGTCTTTGACACATGATTTACTGGGTCCATCTTCTTGAGTCAGGGGTGAGGCAGGACACTGTGGTGAGAGTGCATGGCAGGGCAAACCCTCTTACCTCATTGACAGAACTCACAGGGGAGAAAAATTGGAAGGCAGGTTCCCCTTTGCTCTACCCCATTAAAAAAAAGATGTATTTTTCATTTATGTTTTTGTGTTTGTGTCTGAGTGAATGTATGTGCTCCATGGAGCCTATGGAGGTGAGACAGTGTTGGATCCCTGGAGCTGGAGTATTAGTCAGTGGTGAACTTACTTATACAGGCCCTGGGAACCGAACCTGGGTCTTCTACAAGAATAGCGAGTGGTCATAACCACTGAGCTCTTCCAGGCCTCCTAACCTTTTTGGACAGCATGCCTATTCACTTCCCTCAAGGTACCACCTCTCAAAGTGCTACTGCACTGGGGTATGCTCCCATTTTATGACTTTGCTAAGGTCTTTCTGGTCACCTCCAGTTACACAAGTTAAGTGAAGCCTTTCCAGTTCATCTGTCTACTTTTGTTTTAGGGTCTCAGGGTCAATTAATGTCAACAAGCTCTTCCTGAGGGTGACAGCCTTCTGACAGCTCCATTGGCTATGCTGACTTTTCTAGGCATGGGTCTCACTGTACTTGATACAGGGTGCTTTCATGTGGCCTTCAGAAATCCTCCTCTGTTGAAGTCTGGGGACATTTTCAAGTTCCCTTGACTACCCCTTTAATCTATAGAGACTAGTCATTAAGATGCTGTTATACTTCTCACCCATACATTTCTCAGTACCTGGTGAAGAGAATGAGTGGCCTTCAGGAGTGTGACACAGGGTGAGTGGGGATGAGGTAGCCATAATGAATGCAAGCATTCCTTTTATCTTTGAACCTTTTCTTTTATATTATATCAAAGACGTTATGACATCTCAACTTCATCTAGAGTTCATCACTGTTGAGTCTAGAGTCTAGAGCTATTTGCTAAATAAGCAATTCAAACCACCCCCCAGCAGCTTGTGCGATGACATTAGACTTAGCATTGTGGTATGTACCAGCCAGTTAACTCAGGTGTCCCATCCCCCCCCCCCCCCGTGCAGTCTCTCAGGGTCCCCCCTACACATCCATCCTGAAATAAATTACCCAAGTCCTGCTACTCTTTTTAGTATATAATCCTTTCCCTCCCAAGTTAAAGTTTGAATTGGCCCTCCGAGAGACACTGGGATAAGACTTTATTTACAGGATTGGAGATCCGTTAGTCCAAAGTGATATTTTCAAAATGAAAAATAGGAAAATGCTCTCTAATCTGACTCCACCTACCCCAGTTTTTCTTTAAGATTTATATTGTGTTTAAAGTGAAGATCAAAATCATGATCTTAGCATTCATAGCCCATGAATTGCGTGACATATCCTTAGCTTTATTTGTACACACGCGCGTGCACACACACAATACACACACACACTTACACATTTTCAACTTCTTGTATTTCACTTTTCAGAATTCAATATAACCTTCACTTTCTCATCCCGACTCCCATTCCTGTCAACATGATCCAGCCAGCATCCTGTTTGTCCTTCATCACCTTGACTTTGATTTATAATCAAACATCGAGTGCTCTAACTTCCCGATGGAAGATTTTTCACCTTTGATAGCAAGCAGGCCCCGAGAAAGTAGGCACCATGCTGTGATCGCTTGATGCGGAGATTCTAGTGCTCAGCAGTCTCCAGCATGTTGGGTATGTATACCTGTGTGCATGGATGCATTTGTGTGCAGAGGCTGAGAAGGGCTGGTGTTAGATGTCTTCCTCAATAGCTCCTCCACCTTATGTTTAGAGATGGGATCTCCCTCTGATCTGGGAGCTCACACATGGCCTCTGCCTTCCAAGTTCTGGGGTTGCAGATACTCAATACTGTGTGGGCATTTTTTTCTCACATGGGTGTTTGGTAGCTAAATTCGGGTCTTCAGCTTATGTGGCAGGTACTTTACTGATGGATCCATCTCTTCAGTCTTATATTGTGGTTTGTTGAGCAAGAGACCCTTCCGGATTCTAGGGGCAATCAGAGGTGGCTTCCTGGAAGAGAAAGGTTGATCTAGGAAGTGACTGAGCTGGCTTTTCTGTGGGTGTTTGAGAGGTAGTTGTCTGGGTTTTTTTTTTTCTAGGTCTTATTCTGTCATGATATTTGTGCTGAATAGTTTAATGTCAACTTGACACAAGCTAAAGCCATCTGAGAGGAGGAAACATCAATTAAGAAAATATCTCCATGAGATCAGGTTGCGGGCAAACCCGGAGGGCATTTCTTACATTAGTGGTTGATGGGGGAGGGCCCAGCCTATTGTGGACGGTGCCATCCCTGGGCTGGTGGTCCTGGGTTCTATAAGAAAGCAGGCTGAGAAAGCCATGAGGAACAAGCCAGTAAGCAGCACCCCCAATGGCCTCTGCATCAGCTCCTGCCTCCAGGCTCCATGCTTGCGTAACTTCCTGTCCTGACTTTCTTCAGTGATGAACAGCAATAGGGAAGAACAAGCCAAATAAACCCTTTGCTCCACAACTTGCTTTGGTTATGGTGTTTCATCATAGCAAATAGTGACCCTGACTAAGACAGTATTCAGACCAGAATCAGGAAATTGTGATTTTTAAATCGCTGTCTAGAATCAAGGAGGTAGTGAGACAGCATTTTTCTATTAGCATTTTGGAGATCATTGATTTTTCAGACTTTCTTGCCTACTTCTCTGCTACTGCTTATTACCCATTTTTATAAACTGATTCTCCTTTTTCTTCCCTGTGATGTTTAATGCATAGAATTTTGGTCATTAACTTACCCCAATTAGGTTGAGTTAGGGAAATTATAGATACAGTATTGTAGTATTTTCTTATTCACAATTCTGTGTACCATGATTTAAGTGCCCATGATCAACCACTGTCCAAAAATACTTGATGGAAAAATATAGAAATAAGTATCATTAAAAATTACATATTATTCCTGAGTAGCATGATGAAGTCTTATGGTCCTGCTCTGTCCTGACTAGAATGTAGATAACTTAGCTGTTCACAGTATCCATGCTTTGTATGCTACTCACCTATTTGGTCCCTTGACAGCAAGTACAGATCATGATATCACAGGGCTTGTGTTCATGAAACACTTGCTTCCTTAGTAATGGCCTCAAAGCACCAATGGGTGATGGTGGTGATTTTGTCCCTGTAGATCACTGCAACTGTTTTCCCCTTATTGCTAACCTTTCACTATGAGTTTATAAAATCTAGGTAAGAATAGGAACAACCAGTATATTCAGGGTTCATTTCTATCTATGGTGTCAGGGCTCATTATTGTCTTTGAGTTTTGAAACTTATCCTTGGAGTAGAAGAGCAGGCTGCCATGAGGAATCCCTGTCCACTCTTCTCTAGAGTTCCTTTAGGAGGGTGGGAAGCAATTTCAAAGAACATGAAGGGAATTTGGGAAGTTGAGCTCCAGTACAACTTTTTTTTTGTTCCAGCTTTATTTACTTTCCTTTTGGTAGTGATACATCCTCTTTTATCACTGCTGTTTCATTTGTCCAATAAAGCCCTGATTTTCCATCTTCAGTAGCATGGCCTGGCTTTATCTCAGGCAATTGGTTCTAGCAGACAGACTTATCTAGCTAAGTTCTGTAGCTCGATATTCCTGTTAACTTTTATCATCAGGGCTATAGAATTCTCTCTTAGCTCTGCCTGAATGCATGCATAAATAAAATGACTACAGCAAAGCTCCCATCCTTTGCCATGTAAATACCAATTCTTCTCACTTGGAGGCTGTTGTAGACATTCTATTTAAGCATTGATCTAATGAATTTCAGAAGTGACTTGCTGTTTTATTTTTAAAAAGTTATTCTACAATGAATATTTAATTCATGTGTAAGGATGAGATCATCATCTGTCCACCCAGGGAAAGATAGGTGTCTTTAAAACCCCTCTATTTTTTAAACAATTATATTTTGAATGTCAGAATTGAATTGTATTAATGATAGTCGCTGGTTTGTGGAATGCTCATCATTGTGGTATGTGGTCAGTGTTCATCTTGGCAATGGGATGCTTGCAAATGGAGATGGGAATTGGGCACAGTGCCAGGATATTGCTATTCTAAACTGCATGGCTGCAAACCTTCCTGTACTTACATCTTGCTAACATGTGGGAGAATTTCTAAGGGTGGCATTTTGAAGTGTGGGAAATGCTCATGATGGACATATTCCAAAGCACTGGGAGCCTTATTGTTTGTGTTAACAGAAGGTGTGTAAAATGGTATTTTATTTAATTAATTTCATATTGATTATTTTAGTTTTTGTTTGTTTTAGACAGATCTTGCTCTGTAGCTAAGGCTAGTCTTGAACTCATTACATAGCCAAAACTAGCCTTCAACTCCCCACCCTCCTCCTTCTGTCCCTGAGTGTTAGGAGTAGAAGCATGTTTCATCATCATTTCCAGACCCTTAGTAGCTTTCTGCTCACGGTGTTTCCTCTTCTGTGAGTCGGTAGGTATGCCTTTGCTCATCTTCTGTCGTCATGAAGATACTTTCTTTAAATCAGTGAGTAGAAGTCCTTTGTTATTGATATGATCTTACGGTCAGTTCTAAGTCTCATTTCCCCCTTTGTCTATTGCATTGAGAGTTTCAGCTCTTGATTTTAATGTAGTCAAATTCATTGACCATTTATTTTATATAGATTTTAATTTGTTTTTCTACCTTTATCTCTGCTTTCCATCTTATTAATGAAATTAATAACAGCCACGTGCAAATGTGATGGCATGGTAACTGGTGATGCAGTCGTGGCTCCTTCTCTTTTAGCGGGAGACAGTAGGAGTCTACTAGTCAGTCTATTAGGTCTCTGTCCATCAGCAACTTTGCTGCCAGAAAGGACTGCAGGGCAAGTGAATTAGTCAGAGCTCTCCAGAAAACTGAACCCATAAGAAGGAGCCAAAGGAGGAGGAGGAGGAGGAGGAGGTGGAGGAGGAGGAGGATGTGGAGGAGGTGGTCCAGGGTGAGTGGAAAACTGAACTGATAAGAAGGAGCCGGAGGAGGAGGAGGAGGAGGAGGAGGAGGAGGAGGAGGAGGAGGAGGAGGTGGTGGTCCAGGGTGAGTGGAAAACTGAACTGATAAGAAGGAGCCAGAGGAGGAGGAGGAGGAGGAGGAGGAGGAGGAGGAGGAGGAGGAGGAGGAGGAGGAGGTGGTCCAGGGTGAGTGGAAAACTGAACTGATAAGAAGGAGCCAGAGGAGGAGGAGGAGGAAGAGGAGGAGGACGAGGACGAGGACGAGGAGGACGAGGAGGACGAGGAGGACGAGGAGGACGAGGAGGACGAGGAGGAGGTCCAGGGTGAGTGGAGAGTGGTTTCAAAAGAAATTGACTGACGCAGTTACAGCATCTATGGTCTGCAAGGTGGTACTGCCACAGGGTTCCCTGACAAAAACTTGGTTGACATCACTGAATTTTAAACTGCTCTCCCGTCAGGTAAGTCTAAGCGGAGTGTCGTTATAACATGTTTCCCTGTCTTCAAGAGTTTGGGCATCTCTTTGGATTGCATCTGTCCACTAACTTGCAGAAGTTTCTAGATAGAGAGCTCTCCTTGTACCGATGCTTGAGTGCAGCAGCCTCCTACCTGTGTTTGCACCTGCGCACCTGGAATACAGCTAGGCTCACTTGGGGCGCCACAAACCAGCTGGCTGCTGGTGCCATTGGAATTTTCAGGAAGCTTCTTGTGCGCCCAAGGAGTGTGGAGCAGCTCGGCTTCCCTGATTAGTGACTGAAGTAATATTCTAAATGGGGCACAAGTGCCAGAGAATTAAAAATACTTCTTGGTTTTGAATAAGAAGCTGCCATGTTCCCAGGGCAGCAGGGCTATATCTGGAGGAGCAGCTGCCAGCTGTCTCATGGGCTCCCCTAGCCAGCTGATGTGCTGAGGGCTCCCCATTCTCCAGCTCCCCAGCTTCCCCCCAAACAGGTCTCTGCAGACAAAGGCTGGGAGGGCGGCTGCCTTGGGAAGCATCATCTCTGTATTCTCACCACTGAGCTCAGAGCCTGGCAAGGTGTAAGTGCGAGCTGTCACTTGGGAAATGAGTGTCTCCAGTTCAGGCCTGGCCTGGCTCTGGGCTGCTGGAGCAGGAGGATAGAAGGAGCACTGGTGAGTGACTTGGAGAAATGATTCAGTCCGGTTTGAGGACAGTCATCAGTTGCTCTCCAGGATGGGTTACGGGGTATCACCAAGGTACATGGCACCTTCTTTACTGCTTAAAGACACTTACGACTGAGTTTGGTCAGTTTACCTGGCTTTGTCCTATTTGTCTTTGTGTCTCCAGCACACTTTATTGATGTGCTTGTTCTGTGTGTTCAGTGAACATTTACTACATAAATAAATATACCAATGAAAGAAGGACAAGGAGTCCACTCACTGTGGTTTTCAAATGCAGATTTTGTATCCGTATACTGAAATTTTTAATTATTCTATTTTTTTAAGGTACGCGTAGCTCAACATAGTCCCGTTAAATAAAAGATCACAGCAATAAATGTGGCTCCTTCTTCCCTGGGTCTGGGGTGCCATAAAGAGAGAAAGAGAGAGATCTGTTTATACTCCTCCCAGGGCCCGTAACTACCAGGATAATTTCATGAAAAGGCCAGGCGGTTAAACTAGGATTTTGCTGAGACTCAGGAAATTGAAACACAGGAGGATACAAGTGCAAAAAACACATTAAATTTTATATCTGTGAGCCATGGTTTTAAAACTTTAAAAAATAAGTGTAGCCTGCATTATATAAAAATGTGTAATCCCTGGATGGGCCCTTCTGTTTGCCTGAACAGTTTGAAAGGCTGGTACAGGGTAAGGACAGAGGGTACTCAATGTCAGTCAATGTCTTTGGAGCTAGTTGCTGTTGGTACATGGAACAAATCAAGGCAGTCATTATTTTGCCTTTCATTTCTGTGAAATCTTGGTGTTTTAGGTTGACTTGTATCCCCTCAGTGACAAGATGAGAGCTTGACCCTGATGACTGTGAATGTGGCCTTGCGTGGAAATAGGATCTTTGCAGTTGTCGTCAAGATTCCCGTGACCCTAATCCAATCTAAGAAGAAGAAAAATCTGAAAGTAGAGATACCCAGAAAAAGAGTGGGGATCTGATGCATTTCAACAACGCATCCAACTGAGGCGCATGCTGCAGCTGTTAAGGGATGTCCCAGTGCCACGGACTGCCGTGCCACGTGACAACCGCGGGTGCCACTGAAGCAGACTGCCCTTGCAGCAGGTGTTCCTCCTCTGCAAGACCAGACTCCTCCAGGGAGTGTCTCACCATGTGTGAGCATGGCCTTAAAGCGCGTAGAAGCCAAGACCAGCGGAAGTGGCTGGACAGGAATCTTGGCTCAAGAGGAGCAATTTGGACATGAAGTCAAGTGAGGTCCTCAGGCATTTACCTCTGCTCCTTTATGCCTCATCAGTGTAAATTCTGGACTTCCTGATCTCAATGGGGGTTTTGCTTGACAAGTAATTAAAAAAAACTTAAAATGCTCTCATTAACACTTGGCAACAATATGAGGGTTGATACCATGTCTTGTGGTTTGGCCATTTTAAAATTGTGTGTAGTGTGTATACATAATGCATGCATCTGAGGTTGTATGAGTATTATGGGACACATGAGGGTTGATACTATGACTCATGTGGGTTTTGCCATTTTTAAATTGTGTGTTATGTGTGTGAATAATGTATGTATCTGATTTCTATGGGGTGCATGTTGTAGTCGGGATGGCTCTAGGGAGTTGGTTTTCTCTTTCTATCATGGAACCTGGGGATCAAACTCAGGTTGTCAGGAATGCATAGTGAGCACTTTTACCTTTTGGGCCAGCTCATGGGCCCATGTCTTGTTTATTTTTGTCTGCTTGATTTATTCACATTTGCAGGTTTGAATTTTAAGTATAAAACAGATAAACTGAAAATTCCACTCATGCTATCCTCTCATAGTCGTACCTCTTTTCCTACAACTGAGGCTTGCCAATCACTCATCTGTTCATCGTGACAGTTTTTATCATTTTAGACTGCAAATGACAGGTCTGTGTAGATGACTCAGTCAATGCATTGAGATCCATCCAGAGCACCACGTTCAAACAGGTGCTGTGGACACTGGACCTTAGTGCTGTGGGAGAGTGGAGTGGTCTCTAGAGCTTGCTGGCCTGCAGTCTAGACACTTGGTGAGGGTCAGACATAGTGAGGGACATTGTCTCCAAAAATAATAAGAGTAATCAGGGAAGACACCTGGTGCAGACCTCCAGTCTTCCTACATATATGCATGCACTCACACAGACACACCCTCAAACACACTCCACACACTTTCAAAACCCAACCAGAATCAAAACAGCAAGCCACAGAAGCAGACAGGCATAGAAACAAAGAGGCCATGGATTTGATAGAGAGCAAGAATGGGAGGGCCGGAGGCAGAAAAGGGAAGGGGGAAATGGTGTGCTTATATGATGATCTCAAAATAAAGATAATAAAAATTGTCTTCTTTCAGAATAATTAATGTCTTTTAAATTTATTTAAGTTGATCCATGTAACGGAACTTTCTTTTAAAACTGTGTTTCACTGAGTAGAGCAGAGTTAATATCTAGATACACCTGTTAAGGGATAATTGGGGTCACTGCATTGATTATAAATAGTACCACTAAAATCGTTTTTGGTGTATATTTTTAGTGAAACTTTAATTGTTGTAGTTTTCTTTTTGCATGGGTTCCTGCAGACTTTCTTTTTGATGCATGGATTATTTATACACATACTTTCAAGTCTTTAAGAATTTTCTTGTTGTAGTTATACTACCAGATTCTACTTTGAATCCAGTGCCATTAGATAATATATTTTGTATGATTCAATTTTTATATTTGTTAGTATTTGTCTTATATGGGCTTTGGCATTCTTAGGAATGTTCCACTTCATTTGGTAATATATGATATTCTGCTAATGTGTGCAAATACTATATGCAGGTCAGTAAGGTCTTGCATGCTAATGGAAGTATTTTTTCATAGCATTGAGGAAAACCCTACAAAATGAGTGTTACACTTCTTTAGAGGAACAGAACTGGTAAGATTCACATATGCATTAGTAAATGGGATTTATTTATTGGCTTACACAAAGGGGTCTGGGTAGCGCTAGAAGGGATGCCTGAACTCTGGAGAGGTAGATAGTCTGCTCGATTCATGAGGCCGGATGCTTCAGCAGTCTCAGAGTGATGCTGAGATGTGGAAGATTTCTGGGGAGTCACTGGTGCTTTCTGGTACTCAGTCTTTGTGGGAGGACTGAAGAAGCTGGTCTGTGAGCACAGGAGTGATGGGTGCTCTCAGTCACATGAAGAAATGAAGGCAGCCTGGCAAGCTGCTTCCCCTCCAGTGTTTGCATCTGGACCTCAGTTAGAAGGTACTGCCCATGCTTAGCAAGCCCCCTCCCCTCCCCAATTCTTCCTGGAAACACTTTCACAGACCTACCGAGAGAGGTAAGTTTTCTAGGTGACTCCAGATCCCATCAAGCTGACATGAAATTCTTGTTATCACTTAAACCATACAGAGGATGATACTTTTTGTTCTTCCAGGTTAGGGACCGAAGGTTCAGTGTGTTGACTGTGGGCTGGGTCCCAAGGTCTGTCATACACAGTATTCTTATTTTTCCCTTAGGTGTGCCACCCAGTGGCCAGTCTGCAGCCTTTAAATTTTGTCCTCAGTTTCTCCTTCCTTCCTTCCTTCCTTCCTTCCTTCCTTCCTTCCTTCCTTCCTTCCTTCCTTCCTTCCCTCCCTCCCTCCCTCCATCCTTCTTTCTTTCTTTCTTTCTTTCTTTCTTTCTTTCTTTCTTTCTTTCTTTCTTTCTTTCTTTCTTTGGTTTTTCGAGACAGGGTTTCTCTGTGGCTTTGGAGGCTGTCCTGGAACTAGCTCTTGTAGACCAGGCTGGCCTCGAACTCACAGAGATCCGCCTGCCTCTGCCTCCCGTGTGCTGGAATTAAAGACGTGCACCACCAATGATCATCCTAGAATAGTGGTTCTTAACCTATGGGTCATGATCCCCTTGGGGTTGAATGGCCTGTCACAGGGGTCATCTAAGACCATCAGAAAACACAGATATTTACTTTATGATTCCTCACAGTATCAAAACTGCAGTTATGAAGTAACAACAAAATTAATTTTATAGTTAGGGGTTGTTACAACATGAGGAACTATATTAAAAGTTTGCAGCATTAGGAAGGTTGAGAACCTCTGGTCAGGAGGAGGTCCTTGGATGCTAAGGAATTGCTATTAGTTGGGGAGAAAAGACCTCTCTAGTACTCTCCACTTATTAGGTATATTTTAATGTTCTGCCTCCACACCACTCAGACAGATGGTCAATTCATCAGAATTCCATGACTAGTGGCACACTACCCCAAACCACATTATTCCTGAATGTTCCACTGACACTTTTGTTCCCAAGGCAGTTTCAATTTTCTGTGAGTATGGCATTATTTTCTATAGGTATAGGGGTTCCATTTCTGGAAAATTACTTTTAGCATAAAAATCCCCAAGTCTAATATGAACATAAGTGAAAAGAATGGGAGAGACAAACATATACCTTTAAAAAATTTTTTATAGGAATCCTATGAAGCCAAGCAGGGTCTATAAGGGGCAATTTTACATTTACAGTTATTTGAGGCAGGTCTGGGTTGGAAGAAATGTTTAAAAAATTACAATCCCAGTGACATTTGTACCGAATATGTTGTCTTCTTCTTAATAAACCTCACATTAGGCTCTTTTTATTGTTCTAATAACTTTTAAAGTAGGAGTATCTGGTTTGGGAGAGTTTGGTTTCTGAAATAGAGTCACATTATCTACGTCTGCCAGGGAAGCTGGGGCCCAGATTCTAACTGGTTTGTGAGCCACTGTGTGTGCTGGCATGACTCAGCATTACTGTCACTGAGGTGTAGTTGTGTGCTGAGTGGCCATCATTTCATGGTAAGTAGTGTGTGCGTGTGTGCATGCGTGCATGCATGTGTGCATGTGTGCGTGCTTGCCTGGGTGTGCCTGGGTGTGCACACCTGCCTGTGCACATGTGTGCCAGGTATTCCAAAAGGATCGACCTCTGTTTCCTCCTTCCATGGCTTCCTAGTACAGACAGCCCTTTATAGCCATGGAGTCTTTATCTTCCCACTGAACCAACTGCAGATCAGAAATGAAGTCAGGTCTACAATGACCCAGTCTGCACAGAACACATACAGATGTATCCCCATTGTCATTGTCTCCCAAACAATACACTACAACAGTTATTTACATCACATTTGCATTATTTGAGCTATTAAGGATAATCTGTAGATGAACTAAGGTATACAGAGGGTTATATTTGGGATTTATTTAAACAGTCTCTTGTAGATACCAAGGGAAAGGTGTATCTTTTGGGTCTGTTCACATCTGAGTTGGTGGCTGGAGCTCTGCGTGCTCCTCATCCTCTGAAGTCATGTATGTGGTTTAAGGATGGAGATAATAGATGGCGACTGCTGCATTTTGAGCAATTTTGTTCTTGAGTCTGCCTGAGTCTAGATCGTTTCCCTCTCAGAAACCGTTCTGACTTACCTCTGCTGGCACACAGATACCAGCACTTTGTGATCCTCACTGCAGCTCCTGCAGGCCAGACTACCAGCCTGTGGGTCACTAAACAGCATCTCTAATCCCAGATGGAGGGTCTGTTTCTAGAGTAGGAAGAGCTTTTGGGGGGCATCGGGCCAAATCTCTCTCTGGGTTTGGATTGCTCATTTTTCTTTGCTGCTCTTTGGTGTGCTTGAAAAATTGGAGCAGCTGACAGCCCCTGGCCCAGGACATGTTTGATTAGCTGGCTCATTGTGGAAGATGGCTCAGCAGGCTAAGAGTCCAACAAGGTTAAAAGTTGCAGCGTTCATCTCTGTGGCAGGGGTGCCTGCTATGCCTTTGAACTGGTCATTCAGTGGGGCAGCTGCATGACGGGTCTCAATGCTTGGCTTCTGTGGCAGGCATGTAAGCAGACATCATCTACACATCATCATTCATAACCAAAGGGTCTGCTGGGTTTGACTTTGGGCAAGTCTCGTTACTTTTCAAGCCACAATTCTGTACTTCATATGGTGACTACATATTACAGTTTCACTTTGTAGTTTTGTTATGGTGGTTAAATAGGAGAATGTATGCAAAAATGATTAGCTGGATGCAGTAAATGCTAAATATATCTGAACAATGCCCTTATTCATTGCTTCTTTCTCCTGCTGGTAATTGTGAGTTCCTGGTAAGAAACCGAATTTCTTGGGATTTTTCCTCATGCAATAAATGGAAATGAGCTGTGTACTCTCCTTCACCGATTTGTCAGAAATTTAAATGGGACAAACTAAAGTCCTGGGACCAGTAGGCTGTCAGTGAAATTCCTGGTTATGAATTGCTAATAGTAATTAATTAGTAGTAGCCACCTTGACCCTATCACACATCCATACTTTTGAAATTTTTGTTATTAATAATACACAAAGAAGGCCCAAGTCTTCTGGGGGGGAGTCACATGTATACAGTCACTGAACTCATCAGAAACCAGCTTGCTGATTTCTCTAGGCAACAAATTCATGTTTTCAGCTCTTCCCGTTAGCACCTGGCTAAGTTCTCTGTCCTTTTGTCTGCTTTTCCACCTACCTCAGTTTGGCTACCAATTTCACCCTTGCCCTCTGGAGACGAGCTTGCCCAGACCAGCTGTTTCCGCCTTTCAGGTCTGCTGCTTGTTCGATCTTCTCTGCCCTTCCTAGAGAAATCTGACCACACGGGAAGCCAGCTCCCTGCTGCCGCCACCTCTTCTTTTGTGCTTTGTGTCATCATCCCCCAACACAAAGGCCATTTCTCAGTCTCCTCCACAGACTTTCACTTCCTGTGGAACTGCGACTACTCCCTGCTCCCCAAGCAGACACCGTGTCCCTTCTGTTTCTTCTTTTCCTCTCTGGGTCTCACAGAGACCAAAGGTTTCAGGCATTTTCTAAACCACTCAAAATGAGTTTCGCTGTCACACTTTCCCTCTGCCTTGACATATCCAAACAAGAACTCTCCAACCTTATACTCCTCCAGTTTTCTCAACCTCACACGACATCTCTGGAGAGTCCCAGTTGCTTGAGCACAAAACAGAAATCATCCCCGATCCTGCCATTTTCTTTGCACTCTATATTCAGTTGGATGGGTTCACCGACATTGTAAGGAGCTAGACTTAGGCAAAGGGTTACTGGAGCATCCCCCCTCACTGACAGCAATCTTTCTACACTTGCCTCCAGCCCCAGGTGGTCATAGGAAGGAGTGTGGAATAAAACATGTGGGGGGGGGGTTAAGCTTTCACCCAGAGAACAAGGATTACCATGTCATTGTTGACCAAGGAGGCAAGCATTAACTGGGAGCATAGAGAGCTTGTATTTTTTAGTAACTAAAAGTGACTTTTAACGTTATGGGTGGCATTCTGGGACCAGGATATAGAACCTGAAGGCAAAGACTTTCTGTTTTTCTTCTTCTGGGTTCATA